GGCAGCAAGGGGGTGAGGGGAGAGCAGGACCCAGAGCTGGGGAGAAGCTGGCTTAAAAGCCAGTTCCCCCCAGCACCGTCACTGTGTGGAGAAGGGACAGGGGTGCAGTGGGGAACTGGCGGTGCTTCTGCCCTTGAAATGAAGCAAGAGCAGGGTGATCTGCAGGGGCTCTTGCACATTTCAAAAGCAAAGTGCTGCCAGGAGCTTGGGGCCAGTAGGGGATCCTACTGCCTTTTTAAATTGCAGAGCTGTAGTGGAGTTTGATCTCAGCACATGTCAGGACTGAGCTGGGCTGCCTGCCCAGCCAGTAGCAGCCCCTGTCCATGGAAGGTCCCAGTGGCACTCCCCACGGACTGGGGCTGCTATCCCTGAAGCAACCCCTGGCCATGACGCCTGGATGCAACCAGGGATTGCTTCGCAGCAGCAGCAGCCCATCTGTGGGGTGGGGGGCATCCCAACTTCTCATTAGGACCCCCCCACAACCAGGGGCGCACCTCCCTGCCTCAGAGGAAGCAGGGACCTGTGGGGTGGAGACAGTGCTGGGGGGAAATGGGTTTTTAAGCTGGCTCCCCCCATACTAGCTCCTGCTCACCCCCCTTTGCTGCCTCTGATATAGAGGCTGCAAGGGGGGGAGGGGAATGTGAGTAGTCAACTCATTGACTAATCTCTTACAGCGCCCTTATTCTTGTGTACCTCAAACCCTCTCACACTCACAATGCACTTGGACTGTGGGGTGCAGACAGCTCTTGTTTTTTCAACTATTTTGTTATTTAAATGGGGGAAAGGGGAACACTGCAGCGTCCTTAGTTGGACACAAACATTTAACATGAGGTCGCCTAGTATTTTATTTGTAATGATGATGCAAATCTTTAGACCCTTATAAAACCAGGCAAATTAAATTACTTCCCAGGCAACTAGCAAATCCATAAAAAAAGAAATGGCCTCAGGGAGGTGAACCCCAACAAGCCCGTCCTGGGATCTGAAAGGCAACCTACGCTCTACCCCGCCCCTTAACCCGCGAGCCTGTCCCTCCTCCAAAGCCCTGCCCAGCCCCCCCCCCTTGTACTGCGGCCAGCGGTTGGGATTCGGGAGGGGGCGCGAGACGTGGTGCTGGGCACGTGACAACCTCACAGAGCGATAGCGATGAGCCCGGCATGGCAACGGGGAGGGGAGGGGAGGGGGCTCTTTATCGGCGGCATCACGCGTCCGAGGTTCCCTGGCAGGGGCAGAGCAGTAGCTAAGAGATGCGAATGCCAAACAGCCTCAGTTGCCGTGGCCACGCCCCTTCCTGTCCCTCAGACACCCTCCCCCA